ACTGTATTGATCTGGCTCAGGATAGGGACAAGTGGAGGGCTCTAGTGAACACGGTAATGAACCTGCGGGTTCCGTAAAATGCTAAGAATTTCTTGAACAGCTGCACAACTGGCGGTTTCTGAACAAGGGCTCAGCTCCATTGAGTTAATTACAATTTTCTTTTTGTAACTGGATAGCTGGGTTCGTGTAGCGACGGGTTACGGGCTTGACGGCCGGGGTTCGATCCCAGGCAAGGGTAGGAGATTTCTCTCCACAGCGTCAAGACTGTCTCTGGGGCCCACCTGGACTCCTATATAGTGGGTACTGGGGGGCTTTTCCCCGGATGTAAAGCGACGGGGGCGTGAAGCTGACCACTCACCTCCACCTAGTACCGATATCAAGAATGGTGGAGCTATACCTCAAATCCCCAATATGTTTTTACGGCATAGCGCTTAATTAATTAAGCACACGAAATTTTTACCTTTACCACCTGCACGACAGGTGTGTTGTGATGAGACCAGAAGGTGGTTACGGGAAGAGAATCTTGCCTACAGTCTGAAAGTCCGAAGTAATGAAAGTTTTTTTTTACTGGCGCTAGNCTCCTATACAGTGGGTACTGGGGGCTTTTCCCCGGATGTAAAGCGACCGGGGCGTGAAGCTGACCACTCACCTCCACCTAGTACCGATATCAAGAATGGTGGAGCTATACCTCAAATCCCCAATATGTTTTTACGGCATAGCGCTTAATTAATTAAGCACACGAAATTTTTACCTTTACCAGCTGCACAGCAGGCGTGTTGTGTTGAGAGCAGAAGGTGCTTACAGTCTGAAAGTCGGAATTAATGAAAGTTTACACAAATAAATCACAAAATAAATCAGCAAACGGACCAAGCTGGCTCAAGCGGTAGCGATTTCACTTGTATTAGGTTAGTGCTCATTTCGAATTTTGGTCAGTACTACCCTCGCCGAGATACTTCATGGTTTTCCTTAGGCCCTCCAGTAAGTCTCATGATAAAGGTAAAGGTAAAGTTGTCCCTGTGCTTAAAAGATTAAGCACTACACCATAAAGACGTATGGGGGGTGGATGTATAGATCCACATTTTCTTGACCTCGGCACTAGTTGGAGGTGAGTGGTCAGCTTCATGCCCCAGCCGCGTTAACCCCGGAGAAAGAGGCCCCGGAAACCCATTGGATAAGAGGTTTGGTGAACCCCAGAACCTGTTTGGACGACATGAAGAGAAAATTCTTTTCCCTTCCGGGACTCGAACTCAAACCCCTCAGTCCTTCAGCCCGTAGCCAGTCGCTATACCTACTGAGCTATTCCCGGCTCCTGTAAATCCCATGATAGTGTATTAAATTATGTCACAACCGTTTCCTTCCAGATCCTTCTCAGTTCATTATTCACGATCAAACCATTCGACGCTATACAGTGTGAGTTACTGGAGACGTCATTAAATAGACAACAAATAAATCAGACTTCATGAGCACCAATGTATCTGCAAGTACGGGACTGCGACGCCGGCAAGTGGAACGTAAATCCGTGTTAATTGGACGCCTTCCAGGCCACGACGCTGCAGCCGAATTTTGTGTCGCAATGCGACGCCTGCTGAGTGTACTTATATACACAGACTGAAAAGAATTCGCGCACAGGCTCTCTATAGTGTGATTTCTTGCCACAAATTCCAGTGGAAAATAATGTGACATGACGCTTGGAAGCCGGAGTATTTGACCCAGAGCCAGACAGAGTCCATAGGACTGACACATAATATTGTACGGACAAAAACAAACTCCATGATTTTAGTCCGCAAGCGAACTATACCCACCGAGCGCACGCCGCTTGTCGACGAACTTAGTGCCAAATTTGGCGGATAGAGGGTGTCGCGTTGTAAGCGCTACGAACCCCCACGGCCGTTAATCTCGGTTCTCTAGATCGGAGCAGCTATTTCCTTGAAATAGCTTCTCAATTATTCTCACGAGGCTGTTTGGAACCCGTTCCAGACCCACTACTTCTCACAAAAAATCTGGTAGCACCGGGAATCGAACTCTGACCGCTAGACCACAGAGCCTGTCCTTGTACACATATAAAAATGGACCAGCCACCTTATTCATCTGACTTATTTCCCTGCGATTTTTGGCTCTTTCCAAAAAATTAAAAAATGTCCCGAAGGTACAAAGATTTACTGACATTCCTGACATATAAGGCAACGTTACGTCACTGCGAGGCATTTCAGAAAACGATTTTCAATAGTGTTTCCGGCAGAGGCACTGTCGTCTCACGAAGTGCAACCTTCACAAGGGGAGTGTTTCGAAGGGGACAGCAGTCGCTAGTGCACAGGTAAGCAAATATTGCTTTCACAGGACCATTCCGGGAATTAAATTGTCGCACCTTGTATATTTCCGTCTTAAATGCAACATATTATCCAGTCACGATTCTTCCTCACTACCGGCAATGTACGGCCATCATCAGGTGTTGTCTATCTCGCTAAGGTAAAAACACAATAAATATTATACTGTGACGTACTTGCATATTGCAAATATAATAATAACACTACATCGACATCATTATGAACTGCAGAAATAATACGCTTACATTATTCACACGTTACAGATAACCGCGCCGCAAATGGAGGGCAGTGCGGAGAAGCCTACACGCCAGTGGAGCTTACGTAACAACACATCGACTTCCTTACGAGCTGGACAGATACACGCGCATGATAACCACGCTGCAAAGGGAGGGCAGGGCGAGTAAATCCAACAACGAGAAATGCTCCCAAGCAAATTAAATGAGCGGATGACGACCACAATGGAAATAACATTAAGATGTTAATGAATTTTAATTTCAAGCTTAATTCATTTCGATTACGAAGTATCGCGTTCATACGCCATACATAATTTCGACATACAGTGCAACAATTTTAGCAAAATAGACAACACCTGAGACAGCCTCTGTGTTCTAGTGGTCAGAGTTCCTGGCTACTGATCAAGAGGTCCTGGGTTCGATTCCCGACGCTATCAGATTTTCTGAGAAGTTGTGGGTCTTGAACGGGGTCCACTCAGCCTCGAGAGGATAATTGAGGAGCTATGAGTACTTGAATGGAAAAGTTGCTGCTCCGGTCTAGAAAACCGAAATTAACGGCCGTGTGGATCCATTGCCCTGACCAAGTGACCCCCTCTATCCACTAAAGTTGGCACTAACTTCACCGACAAGCGGCGGTCGCTCGGTCGGTATAGTTCGCTTGTGGACTCAAACCACGGAGTTTGTTTGAGACAACGCCTGATGGTGGCCGCAACATGTAGTTAGGAAGAAGGATGAAGAGGTCGCGCCATAGCTCAAGCGGTTAGTCGCTGGCTTCCCACGACGGCGGCCCTGGTTCGATCCCGGGTCTGGTCAAGTGGGATTTGTGGTGGACAAAGTGGCGCTGGGTGGGTATTCTCCGAGTACTTCGGTTTCTCGTGCCAATCTTCATTCCACCAAATTCTCCATCATCATAATCACCTGGGGCAGGTACAATAGGCCAATCAGTGGCCGCCGTGCCGAGTGGACGCAGTTGGACTCCACCTCCCACTAAGCGAAAAAATAAGGATGAACAGATAATGGGCTGCACTGAAGACGGAAATATACACGTGCAAAAGGAGTGACACATACATGCAGTGGAGAACCCATGGGTCTTCCTTCCCTTGCAGTGCATTAGTTGCTCCAATTACGTTATGTTTACATCGTATAAGTTGCAAAAATATTCAAACAGTCATTCCATGTTCAACGCAAGCTGTTCCCAAGGCCATCACAGGCATTTTCCACGGCCGTTAAGATCGAAATACAGTTCAGATCAACTTCCCTTCCATTCTATTTCAGTATGCAGCGCCTGTAGGTACTTCCCCGGCTTCTGTTGCCTGTCACGGAAGATAAATTGCACACCTTACACCTGTTTCTGCAGTGTTATGATCTATGTGTTCACTGTGACATGTCTGGATATTAGGGGCACAAGTACAATTGTGTGAGGCAACTGGGGGGGGGGGCCTTAGCCGCGCCCTGAACCACGAGAAGCGCCCTTTTATCTTCAACCTGTTTTTAATAGTATTACTTTTAAGCTTACTTTTATATCGCGTCTATTTAATCACTAATTTGTAAATAAAGTAAGGGTAAAGGTAAAGCTGCCGGTCACGGTAGCCGAGCGGTCTAAGGCATGCACTGTCTTCGCTCGCTCGGAACCCGGGATCGTGGGTTCGGATCTGTTTCCTGTGAGGTACGAACTGAATTCTTATATATTATTCTTATACATTGCCGGTCACGGTAGCCGAGCGGTCTAAGGCATGCACTGTCTTCGCTCGCTCGGAACCCGGGATCGTGGGTTCGGATCTGTTTCCTGTGAGGTACGAACTGAATTCTTATATATTATTCTTATACANTACAGGTAGAGGCCTTGCGACGAGCTGATCACTCGCCCAAGGAGTCCTACCTATGTGTAATATCTAGAAAAACCGAAGTGAACGGAGAAGTACATGGAGGTGGGCCTAGGCCCACTGGGGTTGTAGTGCCAAGGGGGAAAAAAAAGGGTAAAGCTGCCCCTGTGCTTAACTAATTAAGGACTACACCATGAAGGTGTATGGGGGAGTGGATGCATAGACCCACGTTTTCTTGTCCTCGTCAGTAGCTGGAGGTGAGTGGTCACCTTCACGCCCCAGCCGCTTTATCCCCGGTACCAAATGGATAGGAGGCTGAATGGGCCACAGAGCCGGTCTGGATGACGTGGAGAACATTTTTGACTCTACTAGGACTCGAGCTCCGGCCCCACGGTCGTCCAGCATGTACTCAGTCGCTACACCCGCTACATTATCCCGGCGCTCTACAAATAGTTCGATAAATTAGTCAATTCGTATTGTCCCATGTTTCCTAGGCAACGCGACTTGAAAATTTACGTGGATCTCGCATTTGGACGAATATTTATTGAACGATCACTTTCTACACTCACAAATACAATTATTCGCACACATCTTAGGACGTTTTCTCTTCACTGTTGCAGCACTCTCGCACCGCCAATCTTGGTGCAGTGTGTTCTGCTCTGCTCGGAGATCAACTGTCCTGGTCGTCCTGGTCTCTCGTCGGATACGAACTGTTATATCCTGCACACGGACTGAATAGGGAACACCTTGTCGAAGGGTTAGTTTCGCCCGCTGCTATGCTACTGCCTCAAACAATTCGTTACAAATAACGGTAGAACCCCCACTGTTAGACTTTCATCTCCGGGGCAACGAGTTCCTAGGCATTGCTAGCCGTTGACCAGTGATGGAAGTCTTATCGTCCCGCCTTCCTGGTGGCACGTCACAGTATGTTTCTTTCAGTCAGTTCCAAACGAATCGTCAGTAGCCCAGTGACAGAGTGAGACACGCTACAAGTGCCAATGACCAAGACGTACACAAGATAACGTGTCGAGGAAGCACGGGCGGGCCTACTGCAGTCTGAAGATTGCTCAACTGAGCCGAGATGAAATGACGCAAAGATTGAGGTTAACAGGGGCACAGAACTGACTTCACTACCATATGCGGTCCGGTCGGCTCCACAACTCATGACTAATCCTCAGCCGAAACGATGATACTGTAAATGGACGTGCATACGTCCGCTGAAAGCCAATTGATGTTTCGGAGGAACATATCACCACCATCTTCAGGGTCAAAGAATAAGGCGAGGAAGAAACCAACGTGAAAGCAGGCGGAAAGCAGAAGATAATACTGTTCATAACCACCTCTGTGAGAACCTCAAATCCTACATGTCCTTAAACAAGGAAACTAACCAACTAAGCGACTGATTAACTTGTCTCTGAAATCAGTCCTCCACAGAAATGTAGCAAAAGCCTCTTACCACACGAGTCAATAGTACATTCCTTTCTTCCCTTTTTGGTACTACACAACTCTGTGAACTTGCTAGTGACATCTATTGGAAGAGTGTGTAGTTAGAGGACTCGTAGAGCCAAAGCGTTATCATTAGTGTCTAATAGGTGGCGCTATAGGATCATGTATAATCGATATATTGCCCGAACGTATCTCACTACCATCTATTGAGCAAAAATCATACTACAAGGGCCAAACTACAGGAAAATCCATTATTCTCTGCCGCTACGTTGTCCGGCCATTTGATTATTGCTACCATTTCATGCCTCATTAAAACTTCAGGATTCCGAGTTCCCCGCCTGAAATGATCTGTAGGAATCCCCCGTCAAGGGGACGGCGGGAGGGACAAGAAAACATAATTTCAAACTTAGGTTAAGACGATTAAGATTATTTTTGGTGATTACCATAGGATAGATGAATATTGTTTTTAATAATTTTAATGTTTCACACATTTTCAAAGTGCGATTTTTTTTCGCAAATATCCTGGGGGTGGGGAGCATAAAATTGGATCGCGGCGTCCCCGTCGGTCGGGCTATTGAATAAGTAAGTACACTTTCCCAGTCCGCTGCGACCCCAGGATCAAGGCTACGGGACTATAACCATCACAACGCGTGCGCAGAAAATGTGAAATAATTTTAGAAAAACCTAGGAATGCCAATATCACCACGAAATTGACGTGGATCACATCCCATCGACAATTTCTCGTATGGGGAGGAACACACACACACACATGTCTGTGGCAATTCACGAACTCATGTTCATGGACTATTTACAGGACGTATGGAGGACTAATGTCAAAGATCTATACGTTTGAAGAAAGCAGTCTTCTGGGATTTGGCACCGTGTATATGTGGTGTTAACCGACGTTTCGGTAAAAGCAGTTTGCTTTTACCAGTTCTCACGGTTTCTTCGCTTGCAGATTCTTATATTATATTTTTTCTTCTACCCTGAAGATGGAGGCGATACGTTCCTCCGAAACGTCGGTTAACACCACATATACACGGTGCCAAATCCCAGAAGACTGCTTTCTTCATAGTCACAGCCGTGAAAGCCTCAAATCTTATCTATACGTTTCTTTCCTGTCACTGACTAGATTCATCTTTATCAGAAAACCCAGCAAACTTGCTCAAAATCCGATCCACATATTTACGTTACCATTTTCCGTCGATTTTTCTACATCTTCGTTTCACAACTTCTGTCGTTGCTCAAAGCAACTTTCCAGCCTAGTATTAGTTTCATTATAGTATTCCTTAGTTGATTCAAACACATCTGTAGAGAGATAAATGTTACACATGTAAAACTTACTTTACGTATATATACTATATGCCAACGACTTTTATATTTGTACCTTTTGCAAACACTGTGTTGTGTTTTGTTTATTTATTTATTGTTTACTAATGGAAACAGATTAATTTTTTTGTTATATGAGCTTCCGTATCGTTATCAACCTTTGCTTTATCCCGTATTCCTTTCCAGTTCTCCATGTCACAGTATGACACGTCGAGGTCGACGTTTGACGCTACCACCCAGGCATAACACGCACAAATAGTCAATCATAAACAGTGTCCTCTATATACCATACTATACTGACGTATTCACAGAAAAATATTAGCAATATTCACAGAATAGACACGATATACTGCTCGCTCTCTTGTGACCTACTATTTACGTTAATGTAATGCGTTAACGCTCGACAGTTCATTGGTATGACAATCCGAAATAGCGCGAATGGCAACGATATTTATTTTTTATTGCTAGTGGAGTGGGACTAAGTCTCTTGTACTGCGGCCACTTCTGGCCTATTGTAACAGTCCCAGATGATAGGTGAGGGTGATTGTGGAGCAATTGGTGGAATGACGATTGGCAGGGGAAACCGAAGTACTCGGAGAAAACCTGGCCCAGCACTACTTTGTCCACCACAAATCCCTCTTGACCAGACCCGGGATCGAACCGGGGCCGCCGCGGTGGGAAGCCAGCGACTAACCGCTTGAGCTATGGCGATGGCAATGATACATCTCTTGCTTATATTCACTCATGGAGCTGAGACCTTCTTGAGAAGCCGCCAGTTGTGCAGCTACTCAAGAATTTCCCAGCATTTTATGGAACCCGAAGGTTCATTACCGTGTTCACAAGAGCCCTCCACTGGTCCTTGTCCTGAGCCAGATCAATCCAGTCCATACCATCCCATCCTATCTCTCTAAGATTCATTTCAATATTGTCTACCTACCTACGTCTTTGTCTTCCTAGTGGTCTCTTTCCTTCTGGCTTTTCCACCAGTATCCTATATGCATTCATCTTCTTCTCATTCGTGCTACATGCCCTGCCCAACTCATCCTCCTTGACTTGATCATTCTAATTATACTTGGAGAAAAGTACAAGTTATGAAGCTCCTCATTTTGCAGTTTTCTCCAACCTCCTGTCACTTCATCCCTCTTAGGTCCAAATATTTTCCTAAACACCCTGTTCTCAAACACCCTCAGTCTGTGTTCCTCCCTTAATGTCAGAGACCAAGTTTCACACCCATCAGGCTTACATAACTGTTTATATGTTTATATAAAAGGGTAAAGTCACGATAATGGAGCAAATTCCTTTTTCATCGATCTGGAATCCCTCCCTACCCCCTTTTAACCGTCCCCTTTCAGCAGAATTCTGAGATTCACACTTCAGTAACAAGCTGAGAGCTCTGTGCTTATTAAGCCCCGAAACCTTTTTTCAGAAACTCGGTAGAATGAGCTGCAGCTGTGGAGAACAGAGACATGTCCGTTGCAGCAGTGAAGATTCCTTGCAGGAGGAGAAGAATAGGCCACGTGACGCGCCATTCTCGTGACGTCAAATGACTTATAATGTCACGAAATGTCAGAACATTCATTTCGAAGTTGGGATCAGCGGATCTCAGACCCGTGACTATAAGAAGTACATTCTTCGATATGACGCCGTGTTGTTCGCTTCATCGATTTTTCGGAGGACCTTACAGCGCCCATCTTCATAGTTGAAGATATTCCAATTATCTCAGCTTGCTAGAAATATCTTCATCTTTGAAAATGGAGAGACTGCCCTCTCCGAAACGTCGGTGACATATTTACCCGCCTATAGAGCTTTACATGTAGAAATACGACCTGCAGTGTTCTTATGAATTTAAAATTTTAAGAAGAGAAGTTGGCCTGTGTAGTATATAAATGTTCACCCCTCAGCTAGAAATAAACACACCTCACGTCTATTCTGAAGTTAATTTAAATTCAGGTGTTCAGAAAAATTAACGTTGATTAATGCTGATAACCAACTAAAACTGTTTATTCCGATAATCAATTGAAGATATTTATTGTGTGAACAAATTAGAACTGAAAAATTCCGTCTTCTGGGATGTGGCATCGTGTAGATCTTGTGTGAACCGACGTTTCGGAGGAACGTATCGCCTCAATCTTCAGGGTAGAAAACCCGGCGAGCGAGGAATCTGCGTGAACAGGTGGCAGCAAACTGATCTTAAACAATGTGTCCCTTGGTGTCAAACATAACCAGCCCCCCAAGTTTCAGTTTTTTGGGGTTGGGCGGGGGTTTTTAATTCCAAATCAGTTTATTAGAAAAAACCAAAGAAACAAAATCTATATAAAAATATGGTACACTGTATCTCACGCTTACTGCACAATTACTTTTGTTTCCGCACTTATAACGATTTCGAGAACGAAACAACACAAAAAAAATTATGCCCGTCAGGAAGACTAATTTCATAGCACAGTATTGAGACGGGGACTTCCCCGGCTGAGCCACCATCTCATTACTATTCCTTGCACATGCGCATTGCGGTAAGTGCTACTGCCGCATTCAGAGCGCGTCTTGTTCCACACGGAGTGAAGCGTTAGAACACTCGTAAAATTTACAGAAACACGTTTCACTTCCTAAAAAAAAATATCCCTTCTAGGTTTCCATGGCAACCTAGAGCGAATCGTTTTTTTACAGTTCCATGAATATAATCAGCCTGAAAGGATGGGAAAATATCATCTCTGGTTTCTCTACCTGTAAATGTAAAACGTCTCTGTGCTTAATTGTCAACCCATGAAGGTGTCTGGGGGGAGTGGAGGTGCTGCTGGAGGAAATTATAAAATCAACACTAAATGGAGGTGAATGATTAGCTTACTGCTCCGGCCGTTTTATCTGGGGGGGAGGGAGAATTTGCACTACACAACGGACAGGAGAACTGTCGCTCCTGCTTCTTTTCCAAGCAGGGAATTGAAACCTGAGTCATTAGTTCCGTAACTCGTAGCCTAGTCACTATACTGAGCTAATGTTAGTACAGTAAAACTTGGTTATAGCAACATCGGTTTCTGCGACACCTTGTCTATTGCGTCAAATATTCAATGGTACGAACTAATTCCTCACAAAGCAACTGTTTTTATACCTTGCTTAGTACGACATGCACAAATGCATCAACCTCGTATGTAACGTCATTTTCATTCCTGAATTTCTCTGATATGGACATTGAACGTAATTTAGAAAGTGTGTATTGGGCAAGTAACAGGAAACAGATGAAGATAACTGATTACTGTACTCGTATCTAGGTACAGTAAGGCACAACAATTGATGTAATCTACTGTAATTTGGTGAGTAGGCCTACCTTTAATATACAGTATTAGTGCGGTGTGTATTGTCAGTGAAAAGCGCTGTAATATGTCTTTGATATTACACATTTGGGCAATTCCACGTTAATGTTACGTTAGTCTGTACTTAACTACGTATTTCACTTTAACTCGGTTTTTGGTAGGTTTTTACGTGACTAACATAAGGCTACTGTGGAAGTGCCCATTTCGGTTACAACGACATTCGTTTATAACGACACTATTTTTAGGTCCCTTTGATGACGTTATAACCAAGTTCTACTGTATTTACTTATCAGATTACACGTAGTCATATTCCAGAAGACAATCTTGAATTACAAAGTTAATTTCACGGTAAAGAAGATCATACGATATTCGACCTCTGTATCTGACAGGTATAAGGTTCGAATTTCGGCGATTATTTTCCATATACTTTCGTTAAACCTGTGAAAGTTTGACGAGCAAGTAGAGGTGAATATTCTACGTCGATTAGGACATTGTACATCGGCAGAGGACGTCATGGAAGTCAATCATTGTAACTGCGACATGTAACTTGGTCATTCACATTAAAGGAGGAAATTAGGGTGAGGGTGTTTGAGAACTGAATGGTTAATTTGGATCAAATAGGCAGGAAATGATGGGAGATTTGAGAAAATTGCACAATGTGGAGTTTCATATTATGCTTATATATATTAGGATCATCTTATGATGGAGGATGAGATAGGGAGAGAATGTAGCAAGCATTGGTGATTAGAAATTCTTGTAAAATTTTGATTGGATAATATTACAGTAGATTTAAAAGAAATAGGATAGAACGGTGTGGATTGCATTCATTTGGCTCAGAATTGGGTCAATGACGGGTTCCTGTGAACACGGTAATGAACTATCGGGTAGCATAAAAGGCAGATACTATCTTAAATTGGAGTGTTAGCTGTCCCAGGCTGGGTTTCTTATGAGAAGTTGGCTGTTCAGTTATGTCAGACAGAAAGCGCAATAGACCACTGTAGGTCGCGGTGCAAGGGCCGAGAAGGCCCACCCCTTATACATACATATATCAGACAGTGACCAGTACCAACTTGTACCATCTGTAATGAGACAACTGACGTTCTGAAATCTGAAATTTACTAACATATACAAAAGTTCTGTTCATATCTCACAGGAAACACATTATGTCTCCGCTACAAAGCCCAACCGGGTAATGCTGTTTAGGGAAACAGTCGCTGTTTACTGTGAGAACCATACGGAACACACAGATACACTGTGTGGGCAGAATATATAGCAATTCAGTCCGTACCTCAGAGGAAACACATAACGTCTCAGCTACAGAGCCCAACCGGTTAATGCTGTTTAGGGAAACAGTCGCTGTTTATTGTGAGAACCATACGGAACATACAGATACACTGTGTGAGCAGAATATATAAATTCAGTTCATACCTCACAGGAAACACATTACGTCTCCACTACAAAGCCCAACCGGTTAATGCTGTTTAGGGATATAGTCGCTGTACCAATTATCAACAGTCTTGCGGTTTTAATGTTACTTAAACCGCTCTTATCCGAAGGCCAATGACTTCACAATGGAGAGCGAAATGTCTCCTCCAACCCCAATAAGTTTCCATGGCAACGGGATTCTGTGAGTCATCATAGTGCTTTCAATCGAACAAGGAGAAAGCGACAGAAAAGCTGTAAAAGTTGTTCCTCTGCTTAATTTAGCACAATGTTACGAAGGCGTAAAAGCAAGTAAAGTTGTCCCTGTGCTTAATTAAGTACAATGTTATGAGGACGTAAAAGTAAGTAAAGTTGTACCTGTGCTTAGTTAAGCACAATGCCATGAAGACGTAAAGTAAGTAAAGTTGTCCATGTGCTTAGTTAAGCACAATGCCATGAAGACGTAAATTAAGTAAAGTTGTCCCTGTGTTTAGTTAAGCACAATGTCATGAAGACGTAAACGTAAGTAAGGTTGTACCTGTGCTTAACTAATTAAGCACTACGCCGTGAAGGTGTATGGGGGAGTGGATGTATAGACCCACGTTTTCTTGACCTCGGCATTAGTTGGAGGTGAGTGGTCAGCTTCACGCCCCAGCCGCTTTACCTCCAAGGAAAGAGCCCCTGATACCCATTGGATAGGAGGTTGGGTGAACCCCAGATCTGGTCCGCACGGTCACGAAGGCGTACTGAAAAGTACTGTCACCTTAACGCCCCGGGAGGGTAAACCTGCAGAAATTTATTCCAGAGGAAAGAGACCATGGAACCCATTGGATACAAGGCTGAGTTAATCCCAGTTTCAATCTGGACTCTGTGGAGAAGGGAAAAAGACATGTCCTTTCCTGGATTGAAACCCAGTCTTCACACCGATCGAGGTAAACTTTAAGTAAGAGGAAAGTATTTGGTGTGAACCACACAAGGACCACATATCATACACTTATAACGTAACTGTTTAAAAACCTTTAATTTACATTAATTCTGGAATGTGATGCTACCCTGAAGATAGAGGCAACTGGTTCCACTAAAACGTCAGTAAAAATATACCAGACTACACGGTATTATATCCCAGAAGCCAGAAATATTGAACCAAATTCTAAATCTCGTTATTAATTTCCCATTCTGTTATTAGCAAAGTTGGAAGTTCTTGAAAGAAATAAATATTTAAAAAAATTTTAATCTTAATTTTGACAACTATTTTCATGATCAATTGCTTAACCCTTTAGACAGCAGTGTGTGTACCGCTTGCTTTAAGATAACCTCACGTCCTCACAATTTTTTTTCTAGGATTCTTTTCCTTCTAGGAACAAACAGTGATTATTTCCCTAATTATTAACCTACTGATCATTTTAATGGAAGTTCAATATATATTATCTGAGTCTATAAGAGAAGTTTTAAAACATTACCCTAGTAAGAAACCGAATTTTCAAAATATTGGTCTATTTCAATAGCTTCAGTAGTGACAAAATATAAATTTTCAAATTAGGAAATTATCCGTTAATTCAGAAAATCAGAATCCTGTCTCGAGCAACTATTTCTAATCACTATAATAACTCCACTTCACACTGCCCTTGCCAGAGGCATGAGCGGGTGAAGCCTCAAAATTTCTAAGAAACCGATAACACTTTTCTGTCCCTAAATATAGTGTCCCTCACTTCTCCCATGATTTTCCCTTTCCGTCTACTCCGCTACTGCTCTTTCTTACCTCTAGTTCCTGGCAGTTTGGCCCTACAAAAGGCTGAAGTCACTCACTGAGCGCTGTTTGTAATCTCGTGTTAATTGTGCAGTCAGTCAGAGCAACAGCAAGCATCAACAGAGGTCAACTTACGTCATCGACTCCGGCGTGCTGTCCCCACGTCTCCACACCACTCCTGCTGCCCGACGCCTGACGTCTCAAACGACCTCAGGACACGGCGACGCCAGCGCTCCTGCGGTAGGGACGAGAAACGCTACAGCGCGCATAAACTTTCATGACTGCGGAACAGCAAAAATTTCGCTAGCCGATGAGCAGCTGATTCAGGGATGTAAACGCTATCCACTTCCTTCCGGAGCGCTGTTTTGTGGAAGCCAGTGCCTTGTGACGTCAGAACTATTGTTTCCAAAATCCATACGTGCAGGATCAAATTCATGGACTTACATTGTAATAATTTCCCTCTAAAATGCGTCGCTTATTCCCCTGAAAGTTTCGGTTCGTTTGGAGTGTGTAACCAGTTCTGAACTGGAGAGACTGTCTAGTTCTGAACTGGAGAGTCCATCTAGTTCTGAACTGAAGAGCCTGTCTAGTTCTGAACTGGAGAGTCCATCTAGTTCTGAACTGAAGAGCCTGTCTAGTTCTGAACTGGAGAGTCCATCTAGTTCTGAACTGAAGAGCCCGTCTAGTTCTGAACTGAAGAGTCCATCTAGTTCTGAACTGGAGAGCCCGTCTAGTTCTGAACTGAAGAGTCCATCTAGTTCTGAACTGAAGAGTCTGTCTAGTTCTGAACTGGAGAGCCCATCTAGTTCTGAACTGAAGAGCCTGTCTAGTTCTGAACTGGAGAGTCTGTCTAGTTCTGAACTGGAGAGTCCATCTAGTTCTGAACTGGAGAGTCCATCTAGTTCTGAACTGGAGAGTCCATCTAGTTCTGAACTGGAGAGCCTGTCTAGTTCTGAACTGGAGAGTCCATCTAGTTCTGAACTGAAGAGCCTGTCTAGTTCTGAACTGGAGAGTCCACCTACTTCTGAACTGAAGAGTCTGCCTAGTTCTGAACTGGAGAGACCACCTAGTTCTGAACTGAAACGCCTGCCTACTTCTGAACTGGAACGTCCACCAAGTTTTGACCTTGAACGGCCATTCGGTTCTGAACTAGAACGTCTGCCTAGTCCTGAAACGGAGCGTCTAGCCAGTTCTAAACTAGAACGCCTGCCTAATTCTGATGTGGAGCGTGTACCTAGTTCTGAACTGGAACGTTTACCTACGCCCGTCCTCTTGTCAGAGAGGGCGCCCTACAAAAACAAGACCGTAACTGTCAAACAGTAATAAATATCTGGTCATGAGCCCCAGACTTACTGACTGACTGACCGTCAGTCGCAATGTGACTTTGACTTTTACGGGACGTGGTCCTCCAAGTTGGGGTGTCTCGAATCTGAGACATTAAAATGTGGTCATCAGTCCCGCGGGACTCGAACCCGAGAATGATGAGCTGGTGAGGGTCAGCAGTAATTGCAAACGACAGACCCATCCTCTAGTCAGAGAGGGATGCTACATAAGAACTATCACCAAAAGGGTTTAGTTGAAAAAAAAATGCTGGTCGTGAGTCTCAAGGGGTTTGGCGCCAAGATGAACTGATTGGCGGTAAATCGCCAGTCGTAAAGTAACTCTGACTTACAAGAGCATGAGGATGGTGTAAGGTGGCCGCCAGCCTGCGAGGACGTAAACCCGAGAGAAGGTGAACGTCCACTTTTGGAAACCGTTACCAAGCAACGAAGCGGAGACCGTGACTCAAAACACTAGTTTGTGTGTGACAGTGACGTGTAAAGTGTAGTCACGAGTTGTGTGTCCAATAAATCCGATTACCAATCCAAACCCCGTCTATCGTCACTGAGCCCCAGTATCATAACTCCTATGTCACATGTTATAATGAACGGGAACTTAGGATTTCTCGACTTCCGGTCCGTTTTCAGGAAAGCATTAAGTCGTAAGTCCGAGGCACGACCGCAGAGCTGAGACAGTACAGGTTTCGGGTCGACAACTGAAGGTCAGGATCACAGTTTAGTTAATCACTTGTCATGGGGATATACACAGAAAGACAGTGGCGGCTGCAGCCACAACAGATTGCCGCCGTATTACAGCGATCACGGACTGAAATCCGCCACTGTTCACATTCACAAATATATATATATACACGTATACCAGTCGATCTACAGCACAGGATTCCCAACTTAACCCTCCACCCCACCCCGTTTTCTACAGCCCCTGTACGAATGCAACCCGCCGCATTGCAATCGATAATAACCTCACTGCTATTTTGGAACTCTGCACGCCCGACCGACCCGAAGAGGACAACTGAACACGTGACGCCGTGTAGGTGCAGAAGTTTACGGGTATTTGGGATGGACGTAGCAACCCAGGAAGAAATATGGTTTAATCTTCGACTTTGAAGATGGAGGAAATATGTTCCTCCGAAACATCTATGAGTTTACACCGTCCTACTTGGTGGTAATCACAGTCGTGAGAAAGTCTCAAATCCAATTCGACGTTTCGGAAGGAATGTACTTGTAGGAGTCTTCTAAAGATATGAAGTTTATTTGAAGATTAGGTTTACTGGTATGTGGGATATAACGCCGTGTAGACTGGTAGATCATTACACGCGTCATGGACGACTGAAAGATTCTTATATACCGTGAAGATGGAAGCGGATGGCTGTTTCGAAAAGTTAGCAAACATCTAACCAGACTATATGGCGTTGCAAGCTGAAAGTGAAGTACATCAAACCTCAAATCACACTTAGAAATGAATTGGTTTCATTGCCGTAAGATGGCCGAAAGAAGATTCGAAATTGTCGAGAACTGTTATCTTAGCTTCGTATATAACCATCCGCACGGAGGAAAGTCCTTCCAAAGAAATCGTGGAGCGAACTGCAACCAAAACAAATAAATACATAGGTGGATGAATGAATGGATGAATAAATGAATGAATAAATGAAAAAAAAGTAAATTAATAGGCCTAGCTTCTTGGATATAACACCGTGTGTAGTCCGCTGAAAGTGAACCGACGTTTCGGAGAGACATATAGCCTCCGTCTTCAGGGTCGAAGAATCCAATAAAGAAACCAACGTGAAAACAGGAAGCTGTGCGTTCCACTTGCCTTTTACGCTGGTTTATTCTTCCACCCCGAATATGGAGGCGACATGTTCCTTCGAAACGTCAGTTGACTGTCAACGGACTACACGGCGTTATGTCCCAGTAGTTAGTTCATTACCACCGCTGTGAGAACCTCAGACCATACACAGCAAACAAACATGCAGATAGATAAACGGATGACAGTAGCCTGCTAAAGAGTAGAGGAATTTCGTCAGTAATACCAACTGTTACTTACTTACTCACTCATGAAGCTGAGCCCTTCTGGAGGAGCCGCCAATTCTGCAGCTACTCAAGAATTTCCCAGCATTTTATCGAACCCGAAGGTTCATTACCGTGTTCACAAGAGCCCTCCACTGGTCCATATCCTGAGCCAGATTTATCCAATCCATACCATCCCATTCTATCTCTCTAAGATCCTTTCTAATATTGTCCACCCACCTACGCCTTGGTCTTCCCTGTGGTCTCTTTTCTTCTGGCTTTCCCACCAATATCCTATACGCACTCCTCGTCTCCCCCATTCGTGCTACATGACCTGCCTACCTCATCCTCCTAATACCAGCCATTCCTGACTGTTATTGGCTGACCCATCAATAGAGCCAGAATGTTGAGTGCATTTTCTTCTTAGTTTCGTACGCTGCTCATAGATGGCACAAGTATCTTCGTCCCACCATGTCAGTTCGATATCTGTCGACTGTCACTTCGGAGCCACACGCAGCGAGAATACAGTCGAGGTTCTGGCTGCGACGCACATTAGACGCTAGCGCCGCCATGATTTTCTTTTCTCAGTGGAGTAGGGCGGTCGGCTTATTCACTAACAGACTTATGTTTCAGTTATTTAAGATTTTTCTTACGGATTTACCTAGAGTTTAAAGTATTGTTAAGTTTATTATTAATATTTAATATACTTATTGCATTGTTCAATTTATATTTTTGTCAGAACTCATGGGGGGGGGGGGGATGTCTAATTGTCCTCCCCCTTGTAGGCGCCCATATCCTCAGGACATGTCGAATAGTCACTGTACAATTTCAGTCCCGAATTATTTCACGTAAGACACAAACATATAAAAATGTACGTTTAATTCCGTAATGTATAACGTTTACACCAACAATTACACAGTTTTATACGAATTATATCAAGAACTCCTTGGTAGAATCGACAATGCTTAAATCCCTCCTGCTCATTGTTATCGGCAGAGGGAGGAACCAACCCAAGTACCTACCCCTCTCCTGTTTTTCCGAAAAAAAATAGACGGAATAATGTATGAAATATTCATACTGAAGGTTAAAAATTTTTTTTTTTCGTTCTTGAATATTGTTGGGCGTAAGCAAAAACAATATTGAACAGCTTGAATATAATGTTAAAAGCAAATTCTGTCCCCCCCCCCAGGGAAACCTGCTATCCTAACCGAGGTTTATCATGGTATTCCTCATTACCTCCAGGAAAAGAGATAGCCTTTCGATTAGGCTAGGACCGCTCCCAAGAGCCGGGATGGCTCAGTCGGTATAGTGACTGGCTACGGGCTGGACGACCAAGGGGTTCGAGTTCGAGTGCCGGTGGGGGCAAGAATTTTCACTTATCCACGTCGTCCAGACCGGCTCTGGGGTCCATAAAACCTCCTATCCAAAGATCACCGGGGGGTAAAGCGACAGGGGCGTGAAGGTGACCACTCACCTCCAACTATTACCGAAGTCAAGAAAATGTGGATCTATACATCCACTCCCCCATACGTCTTCATGGCGTAGTGCTAATTAGTGAAGCACAGGGACAGCTTTACCTTTTAAGGACCGCTTCATCCATCATACAAACACTGGACGGGATAAGCCTAGTTCGGGACAGCATTGCGAAATCAGTTTTGTATACGCAACCTGCTCGGGTTAATCTTCGACTCTGAAGTTGAAGGCGACATGTTAGTCCGAAACGTCGGGCTTTCTCCAAACTACAAACTTCTAAGAGTCTCTGCTCTGTGCAATTGATGTAACTAAGCTCTGAAATCTTGTCAAGAGACTCAAGTTATCTTAATTAGATTTGATTAATAATACCAACCCTGCCCTGGGAGCCTAATTAGTTTCAAGTCTACGTCTTTCAGCT